AAAATAATAGAGTGAACGCTCGTCAGTGATGAGCCTAATTGAGCATCTGTGAAGACAGCTGGGGTAAGAGTCCATATAATTTCTCCTCTATGGACACTATTTAGCCGATTTTGCATAGAGAGACGGATTCAGAGAACTAAACAAAATATAGAGAACCACGCGCGACTAAATACGGCGTATAGTGGCATTTAATTACAAGCCTATGGTGGCCAGGTGACTCTCCAGGGAAGAAAAATGCTATTACCACCTAATATTAAAAGAAAAAAAGCGAGAAGCACAGTGCAAAAGCTGAACTCGTGACAGAAGAGACTTTGAGTTTGGGCGAACGGGACAACTAGGGAGGCGTCAGAACTGCCATTTATGAGGACCGCAGCGCCTTTCTTACTTACCGTGAATCCGTCAAGTGGGACAATTTTGGAGACTGAAGACTGGAGTTTTTTGTCCAGGGAAGGACACCTACAAATTGGTAGAACATGAGGGACTGACTTTGAGTCCCGCTCTTCCCTGTCTACAACGAGAAATCTTGCCTCCTAGCCCAAAGTCCAAGTTGCCCGTTCCAACAGGGCTACGGGATGCCGTGCCACAAAGTTCCTAGTGAAGTCCGATGAACACTGGGCAGCACCAAAGCCGACTGGTTCAGACATTTGCGAGGGAGTATGCTGAGTAATGCTAGGGAGATTTCCTTGTTGAAGCAATACATGAGCCCCAAATAACATGTTTCAGTGGGCTCGAACTGCGATCTTCCGTTGTCCCTATATTGGTTTCCATGAACGCCTATGAGAGTAAACACCTGCTACTTGCCTCCGTTCTACGCACTTACGATTTATTACCATTCACTCCTTGATCGTACTTCTCTTACTCCACTAAACCCATGAAACAAACAATTATATAAAATGGCTGATGAAGCTAGGGCGTACCCATGCCTTCTAGTATGCATCTTTGTCAACTGCACACTCTTGAAACAGCAATGTACGTTCATATAGTAGAACTGTGCTCATATGAATCAAAGCACCGATCTGTTCAATGATCGCTTATTTTTTTCGAGATGTCCCAAGAAACCGAGCAATATTATGAACGGCTCACATTCGACTCTCGATTATCTTTGTTAACAAACAATCTCAGTCAGAGTGACCCCCCCCCCCAAGTACAAGAAGCCAATAAAACATACATGCAGTATACCTTGACATGGAGTGAGAACTTGTTTCACATGGAACGAACGCGTCAATGAATTATGTGGATCCCCACTACGAACACTGACCTCACCCTTGTATTTTCAGAATTATCAGCCGAAACGAAAGATCTGGAATCTCACGGTATTCAAAGGCAGCTCCGCGCTTAAGCTTCGGGGCCCTTACAATCAGAAATGAAGGCGCTGCGGCCCTCATAGGTGGCAACTCTGACGCCTGTCTAGTTGCTCCGCCCACCAAAAGACTATTTTCTGTCACAAGTTCAATTTTCACACCATGTTCTTCTTTTTCTCGTTACTGTTAGATGGTACAAGCACTGAACGACGCGAAAAAAGCCAACACTGAGCCGAAGGTGGCAGGATTTCGCTTTGCTGGCATAAAACGTGCGGGACCGGACAACTGGTGCGGTGAGGCTGCCAGGCCCTTACTTGGGGTTTTCTCCACGATCTTTTTTTGGGTTTCTTCTTCCCTGAGGCGTCACTTGGCGACTGCAGCTTTGCAGTTGAATGCCGCTATCCACAATATGCAAACGCGGAGTTCGTCTTTGAAACAAACGACGATACTGACAGAAAGGCACTAGAGGATGGGGTATTTATCTCAGCCCCAAGTGGGCTGAGATAAAGATTCTAGCCAAAACTTAGATTGCTCATCTTTTTTTTGGAAATCCTAATTTTGCAAAAGGAGTGTTTAAGCAGCATTCCTCCTCAGCCGAATGTCACCTACAGAAATATGATGACTAATTTTGAGTCTGTTCAGGAGAGTGAAGAAATGAAGAAAGCTCAATTGCCTGAATATAATAAATGTGAATAAAAAAAAAAGATTTCGAATGCAACTCTAATGCGACGACAACTTGCCTTCCCCTTCAGAACAGGCATTCTAGCGGCATCCTCACAAATAACGACACAATTGGATGT